CCGGACCCGCTGACTTGAACGCGTCCAGCCCCTCCAGAAGCTCTCTAACCCGGTCCTCCCCAACCTGAGGTCTGAAGGCAATCCCCTCGAGTCCGGCTTCTATCACAGCAGGGAAGTCCCGGTCCCTGCACAAGAAAACGGAGGTGAAGAATTGGTTAAAGAGGTCCGTCTTCTGACGCAACCACCAAATTGCCCAGCGTATCCTGCAGGGGTCCCACATTACCCGGCACCTTCTTCATCCTCCCAATATATTTGAAAAAGGACTTTTTGTTATCCTTAATCTTGGACGCTAGTCCGAGCTCCATGTCCGCCTTGGATAAACCCTTCAATCTGTTCCCTCACAGTCTGAAATCAGTTTTGCTGAGAAATCTGAAAAATGAGGAAAGATCGTTCAATCCATAATGACTACATCTTGAAGAAGCGCAGTTACATATTCTTTCTTGTTCAAATAGTGACTGGGCAGGAGTGTCTTCCCCAGATAGTGGAAGTGAGGACTTTCAGCTGTATTAGTCAAACAAATATTGAAGTATGGCTTTTCTGAACTTAGTATCCAAATTATTTCCTTGTCAAGTGCTTAATGTTTAAGCAAAGTTAGAGGGTTGCTCCATAGATAGCTTGCAGATCACAGGCATCAGCATGTTTTTAAGGCAGGCAGATGCTGTCACTATTGCCTTGACGGAGTGTGACTCAACATTTAGAATCCCCAGCCAATTGACGGCATGTAGAAATGCGTTGCAATATCTACTTTGAGACTTTCTGCAATGAGAAAGAGTGGCTTTTTGATGTATGGCCATAAAAATGCTGGAAAGAACCAAAAAACCTTGGTCCTTTTAAGGCAATATAACAAAGCTCAGGAAACATCTGAAGCACACAGTTGTTGGAGTGCAACATTGGAAAGAAAGACTGTTTTGATGACAAGATAGTATACCGAGCACTCTGAGAGTCCATAAGCTTTAGGATAATGTTGAGTTCCCATGTGGAAGTCAGGCCCTTGACTGGAGGGTCAACATGAAAAAGGCCTTTTTGGTATTTTGATACTGTAGGATGTAAGAAAAAAGACTGTGACCTCACTGAAGTATAACATGCTGAAACTATAGAAAGATGAATCTTAGGGGAGTTAAATGCTGATTCAGTATGTTTTAGGGTATTATATACTCCAAATTCTTTGGTAATGCAGCCTCTACTGGGTTAATATTATTCTGAGTTGCCCATTGAAGAATCTTGTTCCATTCAAAGAAAATTACCTGGAGTAAAGTTTCTTGCTTTTTAAGAAATTCCTCCACTCATAGAAAAGTAGAAGAAGGAATCACTAATTTGGTCCTCTGTATTTTCAGGTAATCATTTACCCAAATAATCCCCCAAATCACCACTTCAGACTCTCACACATAACTGCAAGGGACAATACCTAGAATACCCTAGAACATGCCATGTGGGAGCCTAAGGAACTACCAGTGCCCTGCCACTGTAATGCTCTGCTATTACAAAAAAGTAGTTGTAAGAAGTAGTGTTTGTCATTAATGCTTTGCCAGTCAAATCCCAGCTATCAAGTACAATGATGATAGCATTTGACTGTGGACGTAGACCTAGGATGGATTTCTGCAGCAAGTGCTCTTGATTCTTTACCCCATTTCTGTTCAAATTGTCCAGTACATAACTGTTGAGTCTTAGATGATGATGGTGTCACCCATCTTGAGGACACCATTACCATAACATGATGATAAGCAAAGCAAGCATGATTGAGCACCTCCTTACTTATTTATATAGTGCATCACCAATCTGTAATCTTCAAGATTTTTCTGGGAAGTACTACATAATGAACTGAAACATTATACAGATTAGTAAGGCCTTGGACACACATTCATTTGTAGTGCTATAAAGTGCCTAAGCACTTTGTAGCTCTACAAAAATAGATTGCAATGGGGCATACACATATGCAAAGTCTCCTGGGTAAAAGGAGTTCTAACTGAAAAAACAGGAATTGGATGCAATCTAAAAGACAACCAGTTGGTCTCCAGCTGGGATCCATGATCAGTCATCCACATACATGTAGATGTAGCATCTCTGTTTCCCTCAGCAACTACCACCAGACATTTAGTAAACACTCTTGGTGCCACAGGGAGTCCAGAGTCTAAAGTTTGGGGGCCCTGATATGAATCTTAGATGCTTTCTGTGCACTGGATGGATAGCAACAAGAAGCATACATCTTGCAAGCAATTGATCCATTTTGAGTTTCAAGATGCAAGCATTTAACATTTTGCTTCAGAGGCAATATGTGTATTTTTGAGCCTCCTTACATCCAGGAAAGGATGAAGAACCCCTTTCCTCTTCAGAAAGAGGCAATGCCAGCAGTAGAAGCCTCCTCTCCTTCACTCCTGCGGAATCTCTTCTATGACACTTAGATGAAGCACTTACGATTGTGAAATGGATCTTGTTAGAAAGATCTCTGAAAAATGATGGGGAAGTATAATGTGTTTGCACTTAGGAATAGAATGAAATGTAGTATCCATGAGTCACAGTCTCTAATCCTCCTCTGTCTGATGTCAAGGCAGATCACTCTGGGAAATGGAGTGAGATGACTTCCAAAGGTGATATTCCCTAGACCTGGTTTGATACACTTTACCAAACCTGCTTACAGCCTATAGGAGCATAGTATGTTGCCAAAGAAGAGGAAGGCTGGTGCCTCCTGTTTCATCTCAGGCACTTTTTGGCATTATATCCTTTTTGCCTCGGGTGATAAGATAAAGCTTACTGCCTTGACAGTAGCTGAGGCTGATGTAGCTTGAAGTATGCAGGAGGAACTTAAATGTCTAGACACCACATGGTAACTTCAGAGTCCTTCAGTGAGTGCAGTGTCATCTGTCTGGTTGTTGAACAGGTTTGAGTCCTCAAAGGACTTATCAATTGGGGATGCATTTTTCAGACCCTAAATGATTGAATCATGATGCTTGTTGCATGGTCACTATGCTGGCCACAAATCTGGCTAGTGTCAAAAGCATCCATTGTCACTATCATGGCCACCAGTTGACCTTCTTTGATTATGTTCTTAAGTTTCTCTGTACTGTAATGAAAGGTTTAGCAAGAAGATTATTACTTTTTCCTATGTTGGAAAATGTATAAATGACGTAGCTGTTCACTGAAGGTAGCTGTAATGAAGGCAAAGAACAGGATTTCCTCCTTACACATCCTCATGGAGAGGGATAAGGATTCCCAGAGCTTCTGCTTGAAATCTAACGTTCATATCTGCCAATTGAGAAATGTTGTTCCTGACAATCAGTCATTAATGCACAGCAGTGAAAACAGGAGTTCAGAAGCAGATTGGAAGATTCTCTGGGACTGTAAGCGAGTCAAGCCTGAGGTAACAAGTATCAGTCAAACATTTGAGAGATTCTGCCTTACTGCCCTTTGTGGTAAGAGAGAAATAAGAAACAGTTACTCTGCACTCAATGCCTTCATATAGGGGCATGAGACAGTAGGAGCCCTGACAAACACTGCTAACCAAACCATTGAGCCTTGTGCATGTGAGGAATGTGCACACCTACAGTGTGGCCTATACTGACACACATTTGAAAAAGAATCAAAACACTTCATGAATTTGTACTTGACAGACATTATTCGCTGGTCACTATTTATTATTCATTAAACACTGGTTAGCCATTTATTATTCACTGTTCTCTTGTTAAAAGTTTTAGTTGTCTATTCAAGGAAGAGAAGCAATCCCATTTAAGCAGTCTTATGTCACAGATAACAAATAGCAGATAGCAATTCCTCATCTGAATGGAAAGCAGTTTGCAATCCATTATCTGAAAATTCTGCGCTTCAATGTGAGCCTCAATAGCCATACCACTTTAATATCTCTTTTATCTGGAGATCTCAAAACACTCCCCAATGATAGATGAGTCCTACTATGCCAATAGTGTAGACCAGGAAAATGCAGTACAGCAAGATTAAGCAACACAAGTCAGTGAGATTCAGGAATAGAACCTAAGGCTTCCTGATGCCGATCCATTCAGTCTCCTAAACCAAAATTGCCCCACTTTCCCAACACCATACTTTGATATTATAAGAGAAATACAGAACTTGCTATCAATTCCCTAAAGGGCCAGGCAAAGAAAGATGCTGAGTAGCAAAGGAGAATTAATGCTTTTGCTGAAAACACAGATTCTTGTAATAATAGCAACGGGAAAAAATAATACATTTTCTAATATAAGTGTTTTTTTCAAAATTTGATATAGTGTTTTAAATCTGCTCTCATATTGCTCTCCCATGGATACAGAGGAGCATTTTTGAGACATATCAAATATTGACTTTTCACAGTAGATCAGCCTGACATGAATTAGCAGAGATAGGTCTATAATTTGGATGCTCTGGAAAAAATCACATCTTAAAATAACCCGAAAATATGCCTCTCTGGCTGGTCTGTGCCAGCAATTTTTATTCTGATTACTCACCATGGTACTATCCCCTTTTAGCTCTGCTAGTGGCAGCAATATGAGGAGCCTGTCTGTAAACCATTTAACTGCTCACAGCTGGTGGCCATATTGTACTCCTACTATGAGTGAAGTTTGTGGGTGTAGCATCCAGGATACCTCAGTGCCCTGGACCAAAGTAGAGAATAGTTGTAAGAAATACACTTACATTTTAAAGCTTTGTGTTTCTTGTTATATTACAATCCATCTCCAAGAACTTTTTGTTTTAAAGTAGATAGGGTGCAGGTTTGGCATAAACACTGCTCTGAAAGAGCCCACATAATACCTGTTAGTTCCAGCTGCTAGAATACTTCCTTGGACCAAATGAAGGAATAAGTTAGAATAGACTTAAGATAGCTCTAGTTAATACCTAGGGTTGGATGGAACTTCTAACTGGCCACTGAAAAGAGAAATTTCAAAATTAGCATAAAGTCAGCTTGGCCTCTCCATCTCAGACACTACCCAGCACAGCTCATTCAGAGCTGAGAACCAAAGACAGAAACTTTAATATAGGGTTACTGTTTGTGAGACAATCCTCAGAGGTTTGGCAATTAGTTTGACTTGGGTAATCACCTCTAAGTTCAGCTGCTTAGCTGAATTATCCAAAGCAAACAGCTGTTGATGTTCTATCGTTACACAAAAATAAATTTAATTTATTTTTTAAAAGTGATTAACAATAATCTCAGTATGCTGACTTTTGGGTCCAATTCTGCATTCCTTAGTCTGTCCAGCCAAAATTCCCATTTAAGTTAATAGGAGGCTCACCTTAGTAGACAGGGCAAGACCTTACATTTTTCAAGTGATCACACAATGAAATAATTTAAAATTTATGTTGGCTTATTTGTCTTGTACCCAGAGTGTGATAGGCACTTTACTGGTATGTATAACCTATAAGATAGTACACTGAGAAGGGGAAGGAGAGATACAAAACAAATTAAAAAACTTAAAGCTAGATTCCAAAAGTTTCTTTATATGGCCATAAATTCATTTAGGCTCACATTAAACTCAGTCCAGGTTTAGCAAGAGGTTTGTAAGACCTGGCCTAAATTTTGGTTTAGTAAAAAAGTCTGAAGCCAAGCAAGTTTCATCTCATTTCAAGGTTCATTAAAAAAAGGAAAAAAAGGAGGAGTCAGACAAGATATGTGTATAGCTCCATGTAGTTCTCAAATTATAATCATAATGAAAGCCATGGACTAATGCCACAGAGAGCATATACCCTGGTGCTGAAAAGCACAGTTGGGTTAAGCACATTCATTTTTTTCATGGGTTTGATGCTGCTTTGTCTAGTAGGTATATACATGTATCAATTGCAGTGAAATGTGTTCTTGGTTTTTATCAAGTACAATATGTATGTGACCTTCTAAATAATTGGGAAACAAAATACTTCATCATAGAGTATATCAGAACATGTAGCCAGACTCCACAGATTTTCCCACAAATATTGTCTGCCCTGAAGCCTAGTTCCAAAAAATGAAGGGATGATAAAGTATTTGCACTATAGTAAGATAAATGTACAACAGCTGGAATGTGAGAACTGGCACCAGAGGGCTTTTGCCAGCAGGCCAAGGAAAAGTGTATGAAGCAAGTAGGAATGAAATTACATGCCTTGTCTGTCCACACTGTGTAAGAACCTGAAGCCAACAAACCCAGAGTGATAGAGCAGTAATTCATCATTGTACGAGAGGCAGTTTACAAAGAGCACTAGAAACTGTGAAAGATATGTAGCACATTGATTTAATTCTCTGAATATTATTTTATTAGTAAGGAAAAAACAAGTGAAATTTAATTGTATACTCCTCAAAAATCATTAAACATTAGTGCTGCCTCCACCCTTCTTGACTGCTGATTTTTATCACCAAAATAAAATGCTTTCAGCTGAAAGGCTAATTAACGGAGTCCAGGTTTTCTGTCTGTTCAGATCACAGGAAAAGTCAAGTGAAGCACTGCTACAAATACTCACAAGGATTACTGTTCTGCACTGTCTGATATAGAATAAAAGAACACTTGTACTTTCTTGTTTGAAAGCTTTGTTTCTGCTTCTCTGATACACACACACACACACACACACACACGCATGTGATCTAGCTAAAAAAAATGATAAAATCATACATAAGCACCCAAATTCTCCTTGGAAGAATTTAGGTGGAAGTTTTGGATGCCTGGAAAAATGATATAGGGCATGCACTCCTCTGAGTCCTTTCAGACAGAATGAATTTGTTCTTCCTAGTACAGTGGCACATTATGGACATGGGAGAATTTTTTATCTGCTATTTGGTCTCTTGGTGTACTTTCCTCTTTACATTACCCAGAGCTTCATGAAAATTCTACTATACAGAGAGGATGTCTACACATGCACATTTACTGTGCAGTAACCAAAATTACTGAGGATTACAGGCAGGCATCTACACGTGCACGTCTGTACTACACACTAAATATGGCAACTTATACTGACTTGAGCATAAATTTGATACCTGTATTATGCAGGTATCAGATTTACACCCAATTAATTACTGCACAATAATGCCCATGAGACACCTTACTGCGCAGTAACACTGTGTGTGTGGACTGACTTTGGACTAACTTTAGTCCCTGCATGTTTAGGTGCTGGCCTATTCCTATACTGTGCAGTAAATTACTGTGCAGTAAATTTAAGCTGGTGTAAATGCACATGTAGATATGCCCAGAAATCTGGAGGCTGAAATAAAGAAAACAATCATATAAACCAAGTTAAAGTGGAAAGGAAGAGAGAGTATAATATTTTCTGACTGGGAAGTTTTCAAACAGTTACAGGGTCAAAATGAAGTCAAAAGGAATGTTATCATATACTTTACAGATCCAGAGTTTTACCTGTGTAGACTGATTCCACATAGTTGAAGTCAGTGGCAGTTTTATCACAGGCTTCAGTGGGTCCAAAATCAACCCCCTTTAGAACAGATAGTTTGGGTGGATTTCTCCAGCTTTCCTCCACCACCATTAATACATAATTCATTGTACCAGATACCATGGAAAATATCTATTTCTATAATTTCCTAGAACAGTGGAGGCCAACATGTGGCATGTGTACCACAGGTGGCACGTGTACAACAGGTGGCACAGGAGCATCTGTCTTTGGCACATAGCAGTTAATAGAGGGAGCAGGGAGTACAGTGGCAGAAAGGACAGGGGGCAAAAAGCAGAGCAGCAGGTCAGACAGGGAGCACAGGGCTGGGAGTAGAAAGCAGAGCAGTAGACTGAGCAGGAGACGAAGGTCAGAGTAGCATGTTGGGAGTGTGCAGTTAATTTGTGGCATGTCTGCCAAAAAGGTCTGCCGTAGAACTAGGGTCATCAATATTAGAGCGGCTCTAAGATACACGCACAAACGTAGCCTTTTCTTCTTGGTAGAATAGTACATATACATATCAATCTCAATTGTTCACTGCCACTGTAAATATATATTCTGTATAAAAAATTTAAAGGCTACAATTGTTATTTTATTATTTTAACAGATATTTGGTTTTACTCTAGCATCTGAGTTTTACCAGGTTGTTTTTAGACTATACAATATTTTTTAACAAACAAACAAAAGAAGTAAAATGGCACGAAGTGACACGTTGCATCACTTTCATATTAGCACCTGGATGCTTCACATGACTAAGGCCTGACTCTGTATGTGCTTTACCTTTCACGCTGTGTGTGTTACCACTGAAATCACTGGGACTGCTAAATGAGTGACATGAAGAATGTGCACATATTTTGGCAGGACTGGAGACTTAAGGGATCAGCTCCTCCACTGGATTCAGTTCAGTGGAACTTTCCTAATATTACACCAGCAGAAGATGTGGCCCATTTTTTTCCTAACTGTATTTTTCAAAATTGTCTTTGATTAATGTATCAGCTTCATGGAGAAAATGTTTGCATCCTACTCAGAACTGACATATAGCCATGACATATAATCGTGGTCATTTCTGAGCTTTTAAGACAATGCTGTTCACCACAGAACCCAAGCTCTGCATTAATGTGAGGAAACACACAAAAACACAACAAAATGTATTTCTTGCCAGATCTTTTCATACTGTGTAAAGTACAGAAATATTTTCCTATATGAAAATAGTGTAGTTTAATTGTTTGGATCTTATCCATGTTGTTTCTTTTTGTACTAGAATAACCTTTCTTCCCCCTTTGGTGGGGTAGAGAATTTATGGAGTAGAGAATTATATAAAAACAATGACGATAGATCCATTGTTATTTGATAATGCCTGAAATTTCTTCATTTGCTGTACTAATGTTTCAGTTTCCAGGCATTATCAGATGTCTATTCTTGGTTGCCAGATGTTATTAATTCAATAATTGTCATTTCAGCCATTTATGCTTTTGTACAGTACATGCCCACATAAAAAACAATTAAGGAATTTATTTGCAAAAATCTTGTTGGTCTAATAAAAGATACCATCTCTACTACAAGTCCTGATTGCCATATAAAAACATAACTTCAGACAATGAGCCAGTAGCTATTTTATATAAATGAGGTACAGTACATGTCCCTCAAACAAATGAACTCATTCAGATTGGCTCAGTAACTTCCTAGGTCTACTTGGGAGAAAAACAAACTGCACAAACTCAATGACTATTGTGTTGTTTTCATTATCTAGGAAAACCCAGGTTGTATTTCATTGTCCACAGCATCATACAAAGAAAAATGGAAATAAATTAGAGTTCTATAACAAAAGGACTTGCATTTGCCCTTAAGACTATACACTGGGTGCATTTACACATGCGCCCAACTGCACAGTTGTTATTGCTGTCATTTAGTACTTGTTTAGCAAGTATTAAACAACTGTGCAGTAACTATCATTACGGAACAGTCCCAAGGGCACATGGGTCATTTCCAACCCTACTGTGGAGGGTCTGCAACCACTTGCAGACACCACCAGTGGCAGCAGTCAGCGGTGATTGGGGACTGCCCGCAGATGCCGCCAGTGGTGTCAGGGGTGGTGAGCAGCGACTGCCCACAGCCACCACCAGCAGTGTCAGCGGTGCCTTTTTGCAGGGGGTGCACTGCCAAGCTCAGGGGGTGCACATGTACCCGCGTGCACTCCCTACACATCGCCAATGTCTGAGCCATGATAAGTATTCCTCCATGATTCCCCTCTAGTTCAATTTCTGATACAAGGCATAGCCATAAAATAATAATGACTGTGCCTTGAGTGCTTGCACACACTGAGGAAAACCTCTAGACCATGCTGTGTCTTTTTGCAGAAGCCTACTAAATTTTAGACCTCTCCCCTCAACATAGAGAAGACTAAAGTGATCTATCAGCCTTCTCCAGACCATAATTGTGATTCCCCTCCTCAAATTACCATCAAAGGAAAGACCCTGAAGATAGTCAATCATTTCCCTTACATCAGTAGCCACCTCTCTCAGAGAACAAACACTGATGAAGAGATCCAGCACAGGATGTAGTGCACAAGCATTTCCCTTTGGAAAATGGCTTAGGTGTGTTTTTATTGATTGCAATCTCTGGAAAGACACCAAGATGATAGAGGCAGGCTGCCTGACCCTACTTCTTACTCCACGTGCAGCTCCTGGAACTGGCTGGAGCTGCACACTAGTGGGAGGCTGTTTCTGTGCGGGCCATGAGCACCTCAAGAACCTACTGCCTGCTCCTCTTGTCACCGGTGGTAGCACCTGTGTGCCGTGAGGGTGGCATATAGGGGAGTTCCCACCCCCTCCCACCCTTCCTCACACTCACTACCACATCCTTCCCACCTGAGCTCCATGCTCCCAGTGCCCTGCTGGGTGCAGGCTCCGCGCTCCCACCAGCCCCAGCCCCAAACTCTGCACTTCTGCCCAGCTGCATCTTCCCTACCTGTTGCCTCAAGCCAGCGCTGCAGCAGGGACATGAAGAAGAACTGCTGAAGGCTGAGGAAGCCAAGCAGGTCCCCCAGCAGCTGCAGCAGTGGCAGCAGCAGCCCCACCCAGAAGCTGTGCATGCTGGCCATGGCCAGGGCCCTCCTGCTCAAGAGGGTGGAAACGAAGTGCATGTGCTGGGTGGGGTACAATTAATTGGTGGGTGCCCCTGAGGTGCATGAAATCACCTGGTGGGCTGGATCTGGCCCATAGGCAATATTTTCTCTGCCCCTATGCTACAAGGACACATTAAAGTCATACCTCAAGCAGACGTCAACATCAAGAGTTGGAAAAAGCTAGCTGCCAACTGACTACAATAGCACCACAATCTCAACCAATGGCAATCCCTTTCAAAGTAAAGCATCTTGCCCTGAAAGTAGGCAAAAGAGAGGAGAGAAAGGAAAAGGAGACAAATCCCTGCTACAGCCTACTCTCCCCTGCAGAAAGACCTGTAACTTCTGTGGACTGATCTGTGACTCAAGGGTTGGACTCTTAAGTCACCTCAAGACTTTTAAATTGCCCCATCAATGAACTATGGTAGAGATCATCCTTGAATCAGTTGCATATGACACAATTTAAAGAGATACAATAAGAATCTGCTGAAACTAAAAAGATATTTAGATCCTGGTAAAGACATCCTGCTTAGATGATTTAATCTATACCTTTTTTTTTTTTACAGAGATCTTCCCTACCACATATTCCTCGTGGATGTTTAGCTGCCACTGGCAAAAAGCCAAATAGAGACAAAAAGAGCCAAATAAGCAGACAAAACTATAATATTGATATTAGGCCAGCATTAAGTAAGCTAGGAACTGTAAAAAACCTTATATTGTTATTGCAAAAATAAATAAATAAATAAGCACCTTAGAAAAATTATGATATGGGGTTTGTTTTTAAACCTGCAATTTGAGTTCTTTTCTGAGCACTGAAAAACAAAACCCTATTTGCACTCCATTACAAGATGTTATCTTGACTGCAGCCTGCATTATAATATAATATAAACTCCAAGCTGCCAACAGAGATGATCCAAAATAAGCAATTCATTGCAAATCCACAAATAGAAAAATTAGGGCTTACAATTTTTTCTGGAAATGGTCTAAAATTAGGCATTTTTGCTGAAAAGCTATTTCAACATTAAAGTACCACAGACTTTACAGCACATGTACTCAATGGCTTTAAAATCCCTTATCTAAACAAATCTGTGAGGGTGGGGGAATCTCTTTCTACATTTAATAATCATTGGTTTATGGAATCATCCATTTTCAGCCTTTGAGCAAAAATGAATAATCTGTAGGCCCTAAAGGACCATATCAAGACTATAAAATTCTGTGGTAGAGAACTAATGGTCCACTAAAGGATTTTTGGTGTCAAATTTTGATTATTGGCCAAATGCAAGTCATTCCACCCTAGTCCTACAAGACACCTAAATAAACATGCTGCACAGAAGGGATTAGCTGATGTGATCCTCAGAATCTAGAGCCTTTACTCATCTAAGTAGTTCCTGTGAGTAAGTGCACTTGGTAAGAAAGAAAGAAATCGTATTCTACTGCTGTTCTTGGAGCCTGTTCTCCCTATGCATGGGAGTCAGGCCTACTGATCTGCATAGTAGTGGATAGTAGGGGTGTGCAAAGTGGGTCCTATTGGATTTGGATTCGGATTCAGCCCCAATCAGGGTTCACCAATGATTCAATTAATTGATTTGGAGCACTGTCCCTGATTCAGTTTGAATCCAAAACTGAAGATCCGATGCTGATTTGGACATAGACACAGATTTAAATGTTTTTCTACGTACCGTGAGGTACCAGCACAGCTTGTGAATGCTGCAATGCTGGGGTGCATGGAGCATCCCACAGGAATGCAGGGGACCTCCCCCCCGCCATGTGCTCAGCAGCGAACCCGGAAATGGACTGCAACTATTTCCAGTCCACTTCTAGGTCTGCCAGGGAGCATGCTGGGGGACCCTTCTGTGCCCCCCAGCTCAATGATCAGTTGTGGGGGGACCCCGGATGCCACTCCCAGACCCAGAAGGCACCAGTCACCAAGCTGAGGCCCCCAGCGTGCTCCTTGGAGGACCCAGAAGTGGATCAGAAGTGTTTCTGTGGATCTGCTGCTGAGCACACTGGGGAGCCCCCTGCACTTCTGTGGGACACTCGAAGCACCCCAGCATCACAGTGTTCATGAGCTGCCTACTACCTAGAGGTATGTAGAAAAAACATTTAAAGCTGTGTCTATGTCTGAATCAATGAATCTTTCTGAATCTCTCTGAATCGATTTGGAAGGTTCTGATTCGATTCAGAGAAATTAAAGGGTCCTCTGATTCAATTCAGATTCAGAGACTCGGCCACCAAATCGGTCCAAATCTGCGCCAAATAGAATCAGGGACTGAAGCTTCACACAGCCCTAGTGGATAGCACATACGTAACATCCCAGCCCAGATCCATCAAACTTCCAAGCTTTGCTGTAGGCTACTTTGGAGAGAGAACTTAAAAATATCTCCTGCTAGTGCAAAGCATCTAAGGCCTCCCTTAAACATGAGTGAGGGGAGTAGGGCTTCATTTTGTTCTGCTCTATATTTAGTGACCTACTTTACTTGTGGTGAAAGAAAGCAATTTTCATGACTTGGTCACAGCCCAAATTGCTGATTTCATGGTCATTTCACAGCAGCCCTGACCCTTGGTGCTGATTGGAGAGAG